ACGCTCAGGCACACGCACGCACATGCACACGCGCGCACACACATGCACGCACACATGCCCACACGCGTGCACGCACACATGTGCACAAGCACACACGGGCGTGCGCACACGCACATGCAAACACATACGCTCAGGCACGCGCGTGCACGCGCACACACATGCACACGCACGCACACACGCACACACATACTCGTGCACGCACACATGCACACAAGCACACACGCATGCAGACACATACGTTCAGGCACACGCACGCACACACACATGCACACACGCGCACACACATGCAGAAACACATGCGCAAGTGCAGACACGCATGCACACATATACATGCAGACACGCATGCACACGCATGCGCACATGCATGCACACACACGCATACGCACGCACACATATACACACGCACACACATGCACACACAGAGACATACACACGCACACACATATATACGCACACACACACAAACACGTACGCGTGCAGAGTCTGGCTCAGGACCACAAGACACTTTCACACCAAAAAGAGCGTCAGAACTGATCAGGAATTTGCTCTCTTGCAAATTCAGCGCATGCGTCGGCGTGTCAGGGCTGGGAGAGGTCTTGCAACACGCAGCCCTGTTTGATTTTCGTTTAACCTCCTGTTTCCCAAACTCATCTGTATATCGAATGCTTTTAAGCAGTGCTTACTCATGGTCCACTGAGCACACTTTTGAAGATGCCGTTCTAGACGCACACCACGCTGCTAAATAGTGAGGCCAAGGAGACAGCCGTGAGCCTCCTGGGCGTCGCCGCCTGTTAGATCCGGCCTCAGGGCAAAGCCAAGGTGTATTTTGGTTCTTTAAGTGACACATCTTTGGAGTCACCTGGGCACCCAACCAGGGCAGGCCCCTCTGCTGCAAGTGTAGCAGGAGTAGATAGATAGAGACCCAAGACATATAGAGACCCAAGACATATAGAGACCCAAGATATATAGAGACCCAAGATATATAGAGACCCAAGATATATAGAGACCCAAGATAGATAGAGACCCAAGACATATAGAGACCCAAGACATATAGAGACCCAAGACATATAGAGAC